CAGTTTTTTTCTTTTATTACCATCTTTTTAGTGTGGTTCTCTATCCTGCTTCCCACACTTTCCCAATTCCTGTTGCTTATGGCTAAAATAGAGGCTAGGAGAAATGCAGTGCTGCTGCAGGAGAATCCCTATGTCTTATTGGTAACATCAAGGGTGTGTTTTTTTTTAAAATCAAAACTCCAAACATTTGTCAATTAGTCTCAGTCATGTAACTACAAAAGCTGTGCATAACATTTGTGCAGTAGTCTCAGTCACGTGAGCGGGCTTTTTAGTACAAGGTTTTTGGGTTTTTTAATGCAGTGTTCCTTGCTTTTCCATGCCCCATAGTTCCAGAATTAATTAACCTTGCCACCAGCCTCACTCATCACCCTATCTATTCCCCTGTCTCTGTGACTGGTGTACTAATGTTCAGTTCCTAAGCGCCTGTCCATGGCAAAGCAATGCAGGGGTACAAATATCTGCCTCTGTGAAATTTAGCTCTATGTGGATTTGAAGTATGAATGATGGGAGAAACAAGCTTTCAAAATAAACCAGAAAAGTTATATGTATAGGGAGCTGAATATAAAGGAATACCAATAAATACTGGGCTGCAGAGGGATGAGTATCAAAGTGTGACGTTGATAGTGTTTTGATATCACACCTATACCAATGTGACCAGTAGAAGTGTCCAGCAAAGCATCATAGTCTTCTCCTTTTCCAATTGTCTGCCTTTCCAGAGTTGAATGTGAAGAAAGCCCCTTGCCCACACATTCCCATGTAAAGTGTTTTATTGCCTCAAGATCACAAGATGACCCAGATAGACTATATACACAAAGTTAAGAGGTGCTGGTGCATCATAAACTATTACTACAGTGGTACCTTGGGTTAAGTACTTAATTCGTTCCAGAGGCCCGTTCTTAACCTGAAACTGTTCTTAACCTGAAGCACCACTTTAGCTAATGGCGCCTCCTGCTGCCTCCGCGTCGCTGGAGCACGATTTCTGTTCTCATCCTGAAGCAAAGTTCTTAACCCGAGGTACTATTTCTGGGTTAGCGAGGTCTGTAACCTGAAGCATATGTAACCTGAAGTGTATGTAACCCGAGGTACCACTGTACTAAGTACAGTAACCTGGTCTTAGAGGTTAAGAGAGATCAAAATGTGCAGAGAAATCCAAGTTTGGAGAGAGATCCACCACTGCCACAATTCACTACTGCTCTATTTCTTTGCTCCTGAATGCAGCCTTGGCTTTCTACCTGCCAATGCACATACACACATTCTTTGGAGAAATGGAGAGTGGATGAGTCATGCCAGAGGCCCATGGCTTTGGACTGTTTCAAAAGGCCCACCACAACTGGCATCCTAACCCTGAACAAAAATCAGACATGGCGGGGGCGGCGGCAGCGAGAGAGACTCGAGACACAGACCTTGCAAGCAGTTGGTGCAATTTCACACATATTCCCAAATTACAGCAACAGAAGTGACTGACTGATAGATCCCATCCTGAGAAGATAGCAGCCAAGTTTGAAACATAATTCAAGCATAGTTACTTTGTGGTCGAAACTAATCTGGAAAGGCTTGAACAAAATAGAAGACGGTGGAGAGTTGCTGGAGAGCACTATACAGATTGGAGCAAAAGAGCAACATAGTAGTTCTGCTCCTTTTTGCTAGTCCACCCGACAGGTTTTTGAAGAGGTCCCTGCTTCAGTTGCTTCCGACCCTTTTAAGTTACAGATTTGGGATTCATGATTATATTGGATAACCAAATTCCCAATTGAGAGTTGCTATGAAATGAAAATTGAACCACTTGGAATGTTTAACTCTCATCTTGGCTCTTCATTATGCAATCAATGTGGACGATACCTTGCTGATTGCTTCACTTTATTTTTATTATTCATTTCCAGTTGCTTTTAATTTTTCTTTCTGCTTTTCAGTAGCCAACTGGCATTTCCGGGGTGGCTGCACAAATGTCTGTACAGTCACTAGACTTCCCTCATGATACATAAAGAATAAGAATGGGCTCTCTTTGCTCACAAGCAAACCTTTTGCTTGTTCCTGCTGGAAAATTTGAATCGTACGTCATCTCTGTCTCAACAAAAGGAGACAATGCATCTTCGAATTAGTTTATAAACTGAACATACTTGTAAATTTCAGATGAGTGAAGGGATGGCTACACACACAGAATTTTGATTATGTGCTCTGCAAGGGATGTGGGGAGAGGCTCTGAAGGGAGAATACATCTTTCTCTAAGGGCTTATCCACGCTTCTGTTTGCCCTGCTGCTTTCAACTGGGAAAACCCACAGTTTAGTGCTGAATTGGAGAAAACTGGAATTGGGTTTTCTGCTGATTGCTGTTTAACCCTAAAGAGTGGGTTTTCCAGGGAAAGCAGTTGGTCAAATGCAAGCACTGTTTGGGTCCGTGCTTTCCTGGCATGGGACAAGTGGAAGAGTAGACAAGCCCTAAGTGTTTCACACCTGCACTGGTTTCAGGAGGTAAGGATCATCTCTCATTTTCATGCTAAGGGTGCTGTTTCGTGAGGCATGATATTATGAAGTGCTGGGGAAGGGTGATCGGCAAAGTCCAAAGGCTCCTACTACCTCTCGGAGCTTAAAATTGTTTCTAACAGCCAGCATAGATACTATGCTATTTTGCTGGTTTCAGCATTTTTAAATTGTTGGCATCCGTCTGTCTCGGGGGAGGGGTGAAGTCAAATTGTTGGGAGAGTTGCAGCACCTGCTGGTATTATGTAGTAATCTAATTGAGTTCCAACTCGAGTGGATGGAGAGAAGAGCAAAGGGAAGCCTCAAGTTAGCAAGCAGACCAAGGCAAGTAGAAAAGGGGAGGATGATAAGAAATGTCTTGGGGTTTGTGAAATAAGTGAAGAGAGCAAACAGGACAGCCACAATATGTCATTTGCAATTATTATTATTATTATTATTATTATTATTATTATTATTGCAGTTAGCACTTTCTAATTAGCATAAGCCAAGAGAAAATGTACCCTGCTACATTAGTTGTAAAAAAATCTTGAGAAGTTTGTAAAGCCATATGTCGTATCTCATAGTTCTGGAACATATTTCTCATTAGTACATGCTCAGGGGCACTTTGCTTTCTTCATATACTTTAGGACTTTGTTTCCTCTACAGGAAACAAAACTTATTTTTCCTGATGTGGCAGTTTCTCACGGGTCCCAGGGTGGGAGATGAATATGATTCATTTTTATTAATACACAGTAACATAGCTCCCTCCCTTCCATGGTCCCCTCCCTATGAACCTCGCTTTAAGATTTGTCAGAGTGCAGTGCACTCCCTATAGAAGTGAAATCCCTTGAAGAACCCAAATTAGGTCATTCTCCATAGTGGCAATGCAGCTTTGGAATCAACTTCCCAGGGAGGTCCATCATGCCCTTCATTATTTACATGCAGGCACAAACCATAAAACTAGTTTCCTGTACTTTTCAAATGCTTTTAATTTGTTCTGCTTCTTCAGTATTTATTGCTGCTATTTCATAGTACATTTTAATGTTTTTCCACATTGCTTTGACTGCATTTAGCAAAAAGGCAATCTAAATATCACAAACATGACATACGTGCAGCACCAAATAGCTCAATCAGGGTTGTGGGTTCGAGCCCCACGTTGGGCAAAAGATTCCTGCGTTGCAGGGAGTTGGACCTAGATGACCCTCATAGTCCGTTCCAGCTCTACAGTTTTTGATTCTAACGGTACAGTACTGCACAACAGAAATTTCACTTTCAGCTACGGACATGCCTGGGGAACCAGGGATCACCTTATCTTCCTCAGCATTCAAGCCAAAATGGAATAACTTTTCCATTTCCTATGATCTTCCACGTTGTTTGCTTAATTAATTAATTGTATATACCACCCTTCAATGAGCAGACAGCACAGGACTCGTGTGCTCCGAAGCTTCCTCCGGCAGCAAAACGTCTAAGGGTCAGGCTGGCGAAGTGCTGCGAGGTGCCCGGCGGTGTCACGCCACCCCATGTCAGCGCCACCGGGCTATTGCAGCATTATCTCTACGAGAACTTGGAAGCGCAGGGAGGAGACTCCCTCTGCAAGGAGAACAAGGCTGTGGCATGGCCGGCCTTCTGCACTAAGGCTGGCAGAGGGAGCTTGCAGCCTCATCATCTGTGGCGGCGGCCAGGACAGCAAGGCGGAGGGGTGGGTGGGTGGGGTGGCGGCATGCCCCCTCTCCCCTCCGCCGCCAGCACCTGAAGTCCCGGTGCAAGCCGGCAGGGCGGGGCGGGGCGGCGCTGCGGAGGCTGGAGCTGATGTCAGGCTGATGCTGATGCTGAGGCGCGCGGTGCATTGTGGGCGAATCCCCGCCACCAGCGCCGCCGCCGCCGCGGACCCATCCCGAGGCCGGTGCGGGAGGGGGGACGACGATGCTCCCCGGGCGACCCCCTCCCACAGGAACAGGAGCAGCCTCAGGCGGTCCCGCGCAGGGCAGGGAGCCGCGCGCAGACGGCGCTGCCGCACTGACTGACTGACGGAGAGCAGCGGGCGGGGAGGGGGGGATGCGCCGCCCTCACCAACGGCTGCGGCAGGGACCAGGTGAGCGCGCGAGGGAGGGGCGGGCTGAGGCGAGGGAGGGCGCCCCCGCTCCGCCCTATAACCGGACCACTTTGCGGGGGGGGAGAAGGTGGGGTGTCCTAGTGTGTGTGTGGGGGGGGGGGTGACACGGCCCAGCCCGAACCCCCTCACAAGCTCAAGTGTGGCCCGGCGGTGCATTGTGGGAGTTGTAGTTCTTCCTCTGAGGGGGGGAGAGAGGGGGGACACACACACACCGCCTTTCGAGCTCCCAGGATGCCCTCGAGGCGAAGGGGGCCGGTGGGGATTGACGGGGCGTTCGGCCAGTGGCGAGCAGGAGGATCCCACCCCTGTGGGCGTTGGGCAACGGGCGGCCGAGTTTGAACGAGCTGCAGTGCAGGCAGAGGGGTGAGGAGGGGGCGGGGCTTCGAGGGCCTCGCGCGCCTACCTTGCGAGGCGCGCGGGGGCGGGGCGGGGCGTGAGGCGGGGTTGGCGTCGAGCTGCCTCGTGGGAGCGGCCGCTCTGGGCTGAGGGACTGTCCTTGGGGACAGCAGTTGGGCATTTTATTTTCATTTTTTTGAGATGCCGGATAATATGGGCGTGGAGGGAGCTGGCCACGGCGAGCTTCGGTTTCCTGTGGGCCCATGGGAGCAGGGTACATGTTCCACTACAGCGGGTGGCAGGGCCGTCAGGGCAGGACTTGCGAGGCCAAAGCCCAGGCCCACCTCAGGAGGACTGACTTGAAATCCTCAGACACGCATAACTGTCAAACAGGGTGCGTGTACCCCCATAAGACCATCAAGTCTTGAGGGCGCAGTCCTGAGCCTACATACTTGGAAGTAAGGCCCATTTACTTCAGGAAGACATACTCTTGAGTGAAGGAATGGGTTTCCCAGGCATGATTAGCATTGAGTTCAAAAAACCAACTGCACTATGACTGAGGTAAAGAGGCGCATGTTAAAGAGGGTCATGAATTGGTAACCTTTGACTTGTGCAAGAAGACCTGTGAACAGGAATGAACTGCTCTCTAAGCCTACCCAGGTGATTTGAAAGTTGATGAGAATTTTAATCTGTTTTAGTGTTGTAATTTTTTGTATGTTTTAAAGTATTGTGATTTTTTTCTTGATTTTCTTGTTCTATCTTTTTGCAAACTTTTTTTTTTTACAGTGAAGCATATAAATTTTATGAAAAAATAGTTTGGAGGGTTACATTAGGCAGGCAGGGCTTGATAAAAGGTTGAGGTTTGATGGTGAAAATGGAGGTGGGAGTGTTAAATGGCAATGCAAGGGCAGAAAAGTCCAAACGTAAGAAAGAAAGGGTATGGCAAAAGATGCACAGACTGGTTTGAGACAAAGGTGACAAAATTGGCTGAGCTTGAGCAGAATGGAGAAGCTCAGTTTGAATTAAGATTCCCTATGGTATGCTAACAGCACAAAAGCTCTGTGAAAGTCAGCCAGTAATCTCAGGTGACCAGGTAGTTGGCTGGGGTGACAGTGCTTTGAAGACTAAGTGGGAGAAGGTGTGTAGCCTGTAACACTAGGCAATAAGAGTAGCATGGGGAATGAATTTTCCCAAGTTATAATATTTTTGGTTATTCTTACTATTGCATGTCAAACTTGCAATAGTCATGAAGAAAACAAACATTTGTTTTTTTGGGAACAAAATCTTAAGGATGGAGAATTAACAGCTTCTTCATCCTTTTGGATTGATCTCTTGCTCTTGAAAATGTGAAGGTTCCCCCCCCCCCCATTCTGGATCAGTTTTGTACTTTAAACCATTACACTTCTTGTCCTCCAGTAGATCAAATGCCTCACTTCTTTCATATGATAATCTAGTTTGTTATATAATGGCAAGCTTTCTAAGGTTGTTATTCTTATAGCTCTCATTTCAATGCTTTCTCATTTGTCACATCTTCCAAATAGGACACCACATGGTATGCCAAATGAGATTATATCAGTACATATTGTAGCCACTTCCTGAGCTTTGAAGTTCATACTTTCCCACTAGACATTCTGGGTTAAATGTTGGCCTTTGTTGTTGGATCCAGATATCTCATGACATAACCTAGTTATCTGGTGACTAAGAATATCACTTGTCATACCCATGGTCCATCTAGCCCTGTATTTTTTAATGTCAGACCTGATTGATCAAGGAAATTTTAGCAACCTAGGATACTGTATTTTCTTGCCATTCTGATCACTTCTAGCCACTGACAGTCTTAAGACATTGGGGCATTTGAATTCTTATTTTGGGTATCACAAATCACCAGGTCTGGACCTGAGAGTTATTAAAGAACTCAAATGTGAAATTCCTGATCTTCTAATAAAAATATGTAACTTGTTCCTAAGAGCAGCCTATATATCTAAGGACTGAAAAGTGGCTACTGTAACAACAGTTTTAAAAAATGGATTGTAGGCCAGCTAGCCTAATGCCTGTTTTGGGAAAACTACTGGAAAGCATTATTAACAAAAGAATTACCAAGCGTATAGAAGAACAAGTCTTACTGAAGCAGAACCAGCATAACGTCTGCAAGGACAAGTTCTGTCTCAATTACCCTTTTAAAGTTCTTTGAGAGTGTCAATAAGCTTATAGAGGTGACCAGTCAACTTTGTGTACTTGGACTTTCAAAAGCTTTTGATAAAGCACTTTGCCAATGACTCTTGAACAAGCTTAGCAGGTACTGGTTTAGGAATATGAAGCAGAGAGTAGGGATAAATGAAGGGATGTAAGAAGTGGTAATCCCCAAGGATTGGTACTGAATCCTGTACTTTATAGTTGTTTCATAAAAGATTGGGTGAGCAGTGAGATAGCCAAGTTTGCTGATGATACCAAATTGTTCAGAGTGGTTAAAAAGAAGAGGAATTGCAAGGAGTTCAAAAAGGATCTCTTCAGTCTGGGTGACTTAACATTAAAATGTGATTCAATGTAAGCAAGTGTAAAGTGATGCACATTGGGGCAAAACATCCTAATTTCACATATGCTGAAGAGGTCTGAACTGGCATTGACTGGGAAGGAGACCTTGGGGGTCGTGGTGGATATCTCACTAAGAATGTTGAGCCGGTGGGCAGCAGCTGTGAAAAGCATGAATTCCATGTTTGGAAAATCAGGAAAGGAATTGAAAATAAAGCTACCAATATCATAGTACCATTCTACAACTCTGGTGCATCCATACTTTGAATATTTTGTACAATTCTGGTCACCACCCATCAAAAGAATATTGTAGAGCTTGAAAAAGGGGCAATCAAGAGGGTGGACCAGCTCTCCTATGAGGAAAGGTAACCACATTTAGAGGGACTATGACAGAGGTGCATAAGATTATACATGGTGTAAAGGCTAGAGAAATGTTTCTCTCTCTGATTGTGCTAGAACCCAGACCACCCCAGTAAGCTGAATGCCGGAAGATTTAGGATAGACATAAGGAAGTACTTCTTCAGACAGCACATGGTTAAACAGCAGAATTAGCTCTCACAAGATCTGATTGCCATCAGTTGGATGGCTTTAAAAGAGGATTAGGCAACTTCATGCAGGATAAGGCCATGTTCTATCTCCACTGTTGGAGGAAGTATGTCTTTGAATACCAGTTGCTGAGAATCTCTAGTGGAGAGATTGCTGTTGTGCTCGTGTTCTGCTTGCAAGCTTCTCATAGACAATTGATTGGCTACTGCGATAACAGGATGTGGAAGTAGATTAGACTTTAGTCTAACCCCAGTTTTGCTGAGTGATTACCCTAGTGATCAGTCTGCAGGGAAGACATACTGTGACGTCACTTTGGATACTATATTGTTCCTAGTGCTTTTTAACATCTATTTGAAGCCAGTGGGAGTGGTCATTAGCAGATTTGGACCTAGGTGTCACCAGTATGCTGATGATACTTGACTCTACTTTTCTGTAACATTTGACTTAGGAGAAAGTGCGCAAATCCTGGACTAATGTCTGGAGTTGGTAAGGGCTACATGAGGGCCAGTAAATTGAAGCTGAATCCTAGTAACACAAGCTCTGTGTGTGAGTAGTTTCCAAATTCAGGAGATTAACAGGTTGCACTCTACCTGAAGGTGCAGATGAATAGCTTGGGAGTACTCTTGGATCCATCATGATCACTTGAGGGAGAGGTATTCTCAGTGACTAAGAGTGCTCCCCCCCCAGTTGCAGCCGATATGCCAGCTGTGGCTATTCGTAGACAGTAGTTGTGAAATACTTTTAAAATGCTATTTTAAGTGCTCATACATTTTGTGGCCACTGCAGTCAGTGTGCTTGCACTTCTTCCTGTATTTCTGATGCTGCTGATTGATGGTGGCTTTTCGGTGAGTCACTTGTCCAAAGCTTTTAAATGCCTTTTTTATATTTTTAAATAGTATTCACTTGGGAAACCAGAATAGAGATATACTCTTTTCAGGGATGTGTATAATTTCATCGCATGTACTAGGTGGGAGTTATGCATCAGACCTTCTAGCGTTGAAGACTGAGATATTTCAGGAAGTTTTATACTTTTTTTGAGGTGTAAGTAAAACCTTTTTTTTCTGCACATGGGTAAGGAAATTTTTAATTTTATTTTTTACAGACATTTGGAGGTGAAGATAATTAATTCCAAAAAGTGAAAATGTTGGTGGTTCCTAATATGCCAAAAGTGTCAGCGTTTTTGTTGTATTTCAGATGACTCTTATACTCAAATATTTTGCACTGCTTTAAAGTCAGGTGATCCACAGCACTATTGCAATCAAGTATGTTAAAAATAGTTAGATAATCTTATATTGAACCATAAGAAAATTCCTTGCGCTACTATTGATATCTTCCCAAAAGCACTGTTTTTGTTATTTCAGGGGTGGCGGGAAAGAAAAATGGTACCCAATTCATGTGAATATAAGTCCTATTTTAAAGATGACAGTCCTGTATTTCAGTTGCTTCTCTGTTTGAAGGGTTGTTTGGTCAAAGTCTGGTTAAAAGATAAAGAACGGTAAGAAGGGAGAGGAGGTTCCTTGAAGTTCCCCATCAAGGGATAGCACCTGGCTGAGCAGGCAAACAGGCCACCTGGTTGGTCTTCTTTGAATTCCTATAAGGCAGGATTTTGAAGAAGTCCAATTTGTTCCTATTATAAATTCTTGGCTCTCTCTTTATTTCCTGAGATGCAAGGCTTGAAATCTGCATTATTGTTAGGGGAGAGAAAAGTGTTTACTTTTCCACCACCCAATTTAGCTCAGTTTGTTAAAATTTTCACTTTTTTAGTTAAACTTTTGCTGTTGTCTTCTGAGGGTTTGTCCTGGTCCTCACTGCCAGACAAAGCACTCTAACTCTCAGCTCTTGTTTTGCCAAAGGCTTTAATGCTCAATCAGATAGGGACACTACAGGTTACAAGGTTCAGCCGGTTCATAAGAGGTTCAGATACATGCCTGAATGCAAGCTAAGATGTTGCTTCAACAAGCACCTTCCTTTTGAAGTGTGGGGTAGGCACAGTTATTTGTGTGGCAAGTGGCTGGGGTCCAAGACTGGGCAAGCAAATGAACCCTCTTGAGTGAGTTAGGCTCCATGAGATTTGTTTGCTCTGGTGACTCCATGTTGATGGAAGCACCAAAACATACTCTCAGTTGTCTCCTTAGAAGTGGGAGGCTCCTCACTGACAAGAGGATGTGTTAAAGTTGCAGTGTGCAATGTCATAGGAGTATTACGTTTTTCTAACAACTTGCTTGGTCCCTACCCTGGTTCCAGATTCCCTAAGCTTCTAGCTCCCTTTCCTGGGATCAGACACTTCTTGAGGTCCCGGTTCTACTTCCCTCCTTCCACTATGAAGTTCTCCAGGGTCTTTCAGCTCCAATTCTCTGAGGTCCTCCTATTCCCCCTCCGTGTCTGACTATTCCCTCCAGGGACTCATGACAGGGTAGAATTCAGCATAGATTTTAGAAGATTGTTCTGTCAGCACAAACATTTCTACTTGCTTGATGGAATAATCTCACCTATGTCCTGTTCTGGGGGTTCTTCTGACTCTCCAGAGTAAGTTTGGGGGACGCACAGGTTAGCAGAGGGGGAGAAAACCCTGTTGCGCTAGTAGGAGTCCTTATCCTGGCTTTCACTACAGGTTAGTTGAACTGGACTGGCCCTAAATCTGCAGCAGCAGTGCTTCGTGGAATTTTCTTCTTTTACATTAAAAAAATCACCATTGATTTTCATGCTAAATAAAAAATAGTGTGTTTAAAACATTAACCAGGTTATCTACAAATGAATGTCCTGTGTTGGATGAGAATTCCTCCTTACTTTACAGATAAAGAGTGGAAATAATATATCATAGTAGTTTCTTCCTGTGGTTACAGTATTTTTAACACAGCCCAGAAATTTATCTGTTTGGAAGGTGCACTGCTAAACTGTTACATCTTTTTATGCTTCTGGCCTCAACGCCTGGCTCTTTGTACCAATCATATGAACTTGATATTTTGAAGCAGAGGAGAATTGTTTTCAACTGTCTCCCACATCCTGATCTTACCCACCAAAACCCTCCAGGCTCTATTCCCGACCACTGAACTTGTCCTGGTCTGTCTATGGACCTCCCCCTCCAGCAGGCATTTTTTAAAAAAATCCACAGATTGACAGCTCTAGGCACAGATTGAAAATAAGCTCTAAAAGTGGTCATTTGAATCTGCTGCAGTTTATGAATACTAGGTCATTCATTCCTTGTTAGTAGTGGTTTATTTAGTTTCAGCTGGCATTTCCATGGTGCAATCGCTATACTACTTTTGTCTCCTAATGCGGTGTCTAACTGAAGGTGTTCTGGTTTGGTATGCAGAGCAAGCAGAGGGAGATCGATCAACAACCCAATAGACAACGATACACCAGATAAATTTTGACTGATGCATGCTTTAAGGCAGTACCATGTGCAAGGACTTTACTAGATAACATTTAGGTTGCCCTTTGAGTTTTTGCTTCTTTTGATTATATGGGCAACTCAGCTTCCAAATTATTGTGGGCAGAGCTCTCAAAATACAAGCAATCCATTAAAATTTTGAACAGGTAGTAGCCCTGTGTCCTGACAATAGAACAGACAGTCAAATGAGTTTTGGGGGAACTGCAGCTGAAATCATCCCAGACTGCATCCTAAATGTCTGGTAGATGAGTACAACCTGGGGGGTAGCAAGCATGTAAAAAGCCCCAACTAGACAGTGTTTCTGAGATAGACCTGGAATTCATCCACGCACCAAAAGGAATATACTGAGATGGAAAAAAAAAGATATTTCCGCATCTCACAGTCAATGGTGGTGGTTAGTCTGAACTGAATGGCATGCAAATTTCCAGCTTACTAGGGACTGAATATTCCTTAGATGTGTCATCCTTACATTTGATTTTTCCAGATCCTGTGAAGTATCAGTAAAGAATTTCTAAGGGGGATTCTTTCCTGGGCAGTCCGATGAGAAGCAGACATTCCAGAGGAGAGGAGGCCACAGCAGAGGTGGGGACCCTAGCTGTCACCTAACCCAGGATCTTGCCACATGAAAATAAATATTTGAAGATAAAAATAGAAATAAGGACTCATTCTTAGCTTGCTGCTGTCCCTCTGCTTCAGTGACATAAAATTAATTAATCTGTGGTTTCTGCAGAACCTGACAACTTTTAAAACACCATGTCATTATTAAATGTTTTGCTGTCTGCTTTACTCTTGCATCATGCTCATTACTTTTGTCTTTGAGGCTTTTTAAAAATACCGCACAAGTCTGCTAATTGCTTTTGTACAGAAAAAATAGCATAGGTTGAGAATGGGAATTTCTAAATGTGCTTTGCCTGTAATATTCTGACCTGGTCCACATATCAAAAGTCATGGCTTATGGTGAATGCATGCAGGTTCTGGAAGAAGGGTTTGCGGTAGTTTCACTCCTCTCATTGTTTTGCTGTTGCATCACTCTGAGCTAAACTGTGGTTTGGTTTGGCTTAGCATGTCATCTGGGCTTATGGTTTAGCTCCTTGGACAAGCAACAAGCTGATCATTAGTCTGGAGAGAGTTGAACCATGAGCTAGGTTCAGATGCCATGCTAAGGCAAACTATGACTTTACTCAGCATGATACAGCAGCAAAACTAGAGAGGAGCAAAGTGGCCATGATCTCTCTGGGAACCCACGTGCTTGCATGTTCACACTAAACCTTGCCACTGAGATCCAGTGTGGTGGAGTAAGAAGTGTGCTGGTCTTGCACTCAGGAGACCTAGCCTCAAATCTCTGCTTGGCCATAAGGCTTAGTGGGTGACCCTGATCTAGTCATATTCTTGGCCTAACCTACTATGCAGGGGACTTGAGTAAGATTTGTGTGGCAGAGGACTACTAAAATTTTGTATAGCGTAGTGTCAGGATATACGTGTAATAATAAAAGGCTATTCCTCATTTGCAAAAACACTACTCGGGTCGTTACTTTATACAGTTGTTCCCTCTATTGCCATTTCTCTCTGTACTCCTTCCAAGAAAAGAAAGCATCTCTCTGCATTTTGGAAATGCACAAAAGCAAGAATCTTGGCTTAAAATCTGTATACAATTTTCTGCTCTTTCTACTCTTCTTGCTTTGTGAAGGGACCAATACTCTTTTAAAATCAACTCATATTGTTGGGAATTCTCATCCTACTCTCCAGATAGCTGGATCAGGTATGTTCCCCTCCCCCACCCCCATAGCTCCTTAACAACCTTTCCTTGGCTCACATAAACCAGTTTAAGTAAAAGTAAGTTATTTATTTTGGGTGGGCAAATACTGGTGATGAATCTGTGGGGTGGTCATGATTTCCAACAATTTGAATAAACATTGATTGTTCTAATTCTTAGGCTTCCTGAGGTGAGGATGTATCCTGAAATAAACTGGGATATTGCAGTTCTTCAGAATTGTGCATAAAACACTTAAGTGTTTTCCAGGACCTTTAGTAAGATGGTGAGAGCCAGACTTCCATAGCTTTGTTCTGCTGATTGGAGGCAATAGAGCATTCTGAAGAGATTTTGGATATTATTTTTTATATTTTGGCTGTGTTTGGGCAAATGCTGCAGCAGACTCAAAGTGAGAGATTTAACATAGGAAAGGCATGTTGAACACCACAGATTCCGTATTTAAAGCTTTTTATTCTAACAGACGTTCCAAAATTGCTAAAGCTATAATAGGGAAAATAAAAGACCCTTCTTAATTGCATTATGATCTATAATGTTCCAAAACTGGATCTCTATTCTACTGTTCCTTGAGAGAACCCTGCTAATTATTTAATACAGGGTTGTAACCTGCATTTGTTTAGCTGTCTCCCATGTAGGGATAAATCAGCTGATTTCAGTACTGTTCTGAAAACAATTCTCTCCTAGAGGCTTTTTAGAACCCCAGCTTCTTCCCTGCTGCCTGTTCTAGCCAGTTGCTTATTTTAAAGCTAATTACTTCTATTATGTATGGTTTTTCAACTTTGTTCAGAAAGAGGCAACTGCTATTGATAGATAGCAATTGCATGAGCTTTCTTGCAAGGCTAACTTCAAAGCAAGGTATTCCACACTAACACTTAAGTGCTCTTGTCTACATCTGGCTGGATATAATCTATGAGTTGATGCTTTGTAGATAAATTATTTTAGGCATTATTTCAGTTCAGAAAGGCACACCAGCAAAAGAAGCAGAAGTCCAGTTCTTAGTGCACACTATACACACAAAATGTGTATTGCTGCTTAGAGTATCTCCCAGGGCAACTGGTATTTAGTAAGGGTGACAAGGAGGCAGCAAAAGGGGACCCATTATTCAAGTTCTCTTGCCAATGTTTGCTTGCTTAATTCCCTGAATGAAATTGAATGAAGAGAGAATATTTTGCAAGCTTAGCACTTGAAATGTCAGACAGGTGCTGGAATTCTTGAAATGGTAAGTTAGGCGAATAAACACCCAAGCCTTTGACATAGCTGGGATATTTACAAGAATGCAGAAAAAGCAGTATAGGGAAGGAGAACAAGGAGGGGGGAAATTATAAAGAACGTGGGGTTTATCTTGACTTCACACTTTGACTATACTGGCGTCAATATTTGCCATTATGCGTTACAAATAGAAAATAAACTGAGCAATGGCTGATGCTGTCAGAGACAGTATGCCGCTGAATACCAGTTGCTAGGAACCACAGGCAAGCAGAGTGCTGTTTTTTTCAGGTCCTGTTTGCGTGTTCCCCACAGGCATCTGGTTGGCCACTGTGAGAACAGCATGCTGGACTAGATGGGGCATTGATCTGATCTAGCAGAGTTCTTGTTATGCTGTGCCATATAGTAGCAGCTGCTGGCAAGTCAGCATCTTTACCTTGAAGGGCATTGGCTTCCTGCCCTGAAAATGATTAAATTGTGTGAAATTCAGTTAGATTGGCAGAAGCTGTGCTGTAGACTCCAGAGGACTCAATAAGTTCCCAGGAACTTTTACTGACAGTCCCATATCCCTGTGCCCTCCAGTTGTTTTGGACCACAACTCCCATCATCCTTGATTATTGGCTGTGCTAGCTTGGGTCTTGGAAGAATTGTACTCCAAAATACCTGGAGCTGGGTTAGGGAAGGCTGTCCTAAAAGATGTGAGATACTGTTCAAAGCTTGCTAAATAGCTTCCTGTATGTTGTTGTTTCTCGAGTTTGAATGATCCAAAGAAAAGGGACAGTTTATTTCATTTTTAAAAGTTATTATTTTAAAATCAAACATAACTGTCAATATACTTAATAATGAATAAATCGGAGTAAAAGTAAGATATACATATATACACATAAAATAAGTTTATAATAAACAACTTAAAACCTCAACAACTTAAATTCAGGGTCCTTTAAGGACCACCTGAACTCTTCTAGCCCACATCATCTGCAGGAGTGATGCTACAGGAATGATCACCTTTAGGAATGTCACTGGTTGTCCCCTTAGTTGTTGAGGCTTATTGACATCAACACAAAGCCGAACCCTTTAGAGTTATTGGCCCAGCCCTGTGGAGTTGTCCTTTGATAGAGATCCAGCAAGCATCTTCTTTATTGACCTTTAAATGTTTGCTGAAAACTTTTCGGTACTGCTAAGCTTATGCAGACTGTTAAGAAAAGCATTGTAACAGCTGATGAACCGTTATTTTAATTCTTTATGTTGTTTTTACTTTTTATTTGTGTGTTTGTATATTCCATAGAATTGGTGCCACTACTCGAGAAATCTATGTGCCTAGTGGACCATTGAACCAAATAGACAGCCAGTGTAGATTAACAGAACCAGAATAATATGATCTGAACCATAACTCTGCCAACAGTCTGATAGCAGCAAAATGCCTCCTTTTATATGCCAAAAATTTGTGCAGTGGGGGATTTCTGCTTATCGTTGAAGCTGGAGCATGTGACTCTAATGGGGGAATTTACTGTAGCTCCCTTGCTGCAATCGACTGGCAACCACTATCTCCTCTGCCCACCCCACTCCCAATCTGTGGGGGAACTATGGTGACCACTAGCTAGAGCTAAAGTACTCCATTAAGTTTTATTAACACTCACTCATAAAATACAAAAAGGGAGAAGCACTTTACCCCCCCCAAAAAAAAAACCCAAGAACCCTCCAAAACTTGGGCTAAACTTTTGGCACTCCAGACGTTTGGCCTAGCTATAATTTTACACCAGCTAATTTTCTGAACTCTTTTAAAATTAGACCCACGTCAAGCATGTTACAGTAGTCTGAAATGGAGGTTACTAAAACATGAATACCTATGGCCAGGTCTATGACCTCTACCTATTACAACTGCTGCACAAATCTCCATGCCTTTCAAGGAAAATCTGTGTGGGAAGCTGCACAGTTGTAGGGCTAGTTGGATTGCTTTTTCAGGATTAATGTCTTTCTTCCCATCCAATTTAGAAAATTATCAAAGAACCAATACTAGAGAAGTAGAATTTTTGAAGGCTTTAGAAAGACTTAAATGGAGCACAGAGCTGCTGTGCTCTACTTACAGAAAAATAAAAAATAATTTCTCTCTAATTGCTCACTAGCTCCCTTGAGGATTCAGAAAATGTTTTTGTAATGAGGAACCTTCACTTCTTGAGGGTTAGTTTGCTTACATAACGTTTTGTAGGGAGATTGTGTTATTTTATATAAGTAGTGTAATGTATTTCATCATTGATTTATAGCTGTAAACTGCTTAGAAGCTGTTTGGGCATATGTGTCTGTGTGTGCATATACACACACATATATATGTATGCGTATGTGTGTGTATATATATATATATATATGCTTTCGTAGATTTTCACGGGTACAGGAATGTAGGTTTTGGTGTCCTCGGGTGTCTTCCCGTGTAAAAGTTGGGGTGTCTAGGCGACGTTTCGACGAGGTCTCACTCCAATTTCCCCTAACAATCAGAAGGGCAGACACAGGGAAATTCAGCTTGGACACACAGACCTATGGTAGTCACCCACTGTTCCACAAGGAACATTAGGAAGGCCCTGGATGCAAAAGCTTACAAAGAAGTGCCAATTTGAATAATTACATCATCATCAAATTAGAGAAAGTAATAACTGCTGTACTAATAACAAACTCAATTTCCCAAGTGCCAATTGTTATGTAGCTAAAATGGCATTCCAACACAAGAGGGAATATCAACAGGCTGAGGACAGCTCCAAGGTTTACAGAACTACGAAAAAACTTTGAGTGGGGGGCGGAACCAAGCCAACAAATAGAAGCCAACAACCAACTTCCCTTCCTTGACGTCCTAATCTACAAAAAACCTGATGGCTCCCTAGGACACACTATCTACCGGAAAAAAAACACACACCAACCGCTACTTACATGCACAATCACACCACCACCCTGCACAAATAAACTCCGTAGCCAAGACTCTCATCTCCAGAACCAAACGCCTGGCTGACAAAGACCACTTGACAACTGAGTTACAGAATCTCTCAAATGTGTTAATCGCCAATGGATACCAGCAAAACAGGGTTACGAAGCTAATCCAAAAAGAAACACCCCCCAAAAACCAAGACACAGAAGAAAACAATGGCATGGCCCTCCTTCCTTATATCAAGGGCACTACAGATAAAATTAGCAAAATCCTCCATAAACACAATATCAAAACAGCCTTTTGCACCAACCAAAAAATAGCCAATATCCTCAGAAACCCCAAAGATAAAATCCAGTTGGAAAACCAAGGGGTCTATGAAATACCCTGCAAAACCTGCCCAGCCACGTACATTGGACAAACAAACAGACGAATAAATGCACGTATCGCAGAACACAAGAATGCCGTCAAAAAAGAAGAAAAAACTTCCTCTCTTTTCCAACACATGAAAGAAACAGGACACGAAATTAATTTTGCAGATTCCAAATTGCTCTTTAACATGGAACATCACCACAAGAGAATAATCATGGAAGCCATCGAGATAGAGAAACACCCTCACAACATGAACAAGCGTGACGACACGTCCCGCCTGCCAGACATCTGGAAATTAGCCCTCCCCACAAAAACCGACACCAGATCCAGAGGCACACAGAACGCCATCACCAATCAACCACACCAGACCCAAACCCAGACCCTCTCCACAGATAAATTACAGACACCATCCAGTAGCCAAACCACGGTGGCACCTCCGGATGCTGCACCCCCCTGCAATCCCTACACAGATCTGGCTGGCACAGGGCACAAAACCACAGCTCGCCCCTATACCCGAAGCCAAGCCAGAGCACAACTAAGTGCAGTACAGCCATCTTCTCAGAAAAACTTTTCACAAAGTTCAAGAGGTCAAGACACGAAGGCTTGAGCAACTAATCCACACCTAATGACCCACCTAAGTGGTACTCAGAATATCACTCAAGAAATCACTCAAGATCTCCCTCAAGTAATTAAGGAACAAAAGAAGAAAAGGCACACTAGCCTGGGAACTTCCTCTCTGCCCAGAACATTGGAGGCTATACACCACACCCCCTCAACAGTATTTATAGGAACTCAAACACTGAGATCCTGCTCTGTTCCAGTAACAAGAAGCCGAAAGCACCAGCCTGAAGATGACGAGTGAGACCTCGTCGAAACGTCGCCTAGACACCCCAACTTTTACACGGGAAGACACCCGAGGACACCAAAACCTACATATATATATATGTATATATGTATGTATACGTATATGCGCACATGTCAAGGGTGCTGCGTGAAAAGTGTATACCACCCTTCATAATATTTATCACAGACGAATTGCACAGGTATGTAATTTAAAACAAAAGAATAATAAAAATACAATAAACCAATACATACATTAAAATAACAGTTAAAACTGTGCATTAAAATATAGCATCCTCCAAATGCTATTTCAAAATGTAACCCATTAAAATGCCTGCAAGTATTAACATGGATTAGCCTGATGCCTAAAAAACAATAAAGTGGGTGCCAGATAAACCTCCATGAGGAGGGAGTTCCACAGTTGAGGTACCATAGATGAGAAGGCACTGCCTGCTTAATTTCTGATGGTGGAGCCATTCTGAGAAGGGCCTCAAAGTGGAAAGTGTTGGTGCTTGGACAGTTGATATGCAACTGACCCTTAAGAATTAGGTTTCCAAGCTGTGAAGCTCTTTAAAGATACAAACTGGCTCCTTGAGTGTATATTTATTAGAACTGGTGGAAGATGTTCCCAGCAAGTTCTAGTCAAAATCCCGGCTGCTAATTTTTGAACTAATTGCAGCTTCTGAACTGTCTTCAAGGGAAGCCCCACATACAACACATTACAGTAGTGTACACAAATGTAACCATTTATTGATAAATGCTGCCAGACTTTTCCTGTCCAGAAGAGGATTCCAACTGACATACCAGCTTAAGCTGGTAGAAACGCCCGAAGCTGAAAACTCGCACTGTTCAAGCAACAGAGTTGGATCAAGGTGTGAACCAGATCTTTCAAAGGGAGTGCAACCCTGATCAAAGCAGGTTGAATCTCCCGAGTCTGAGGAAGCAACCATGCACAGTGCTTTCATTTTATCAGGTATAAGTTTCAGTTTATTGGCCCCCAGCCAGTGTTTTAAAAGAGCAGTTTAAAAATCATGTACAGTATAGCATAGCAAATAAAACCTTGAAATATGTGTTACACGTGATCAAGCCCAGTTGCGGGGAATAGACAAGGATAAACGAGTACAAACTGTCCATAGCCAACAACAGGAAAGGCAACAGAAACAAGGATGAACCCTAAGTTTGCATTCTTTGAAGCGAGACCCATACAAATTAATAAGCATGGTGAGGACCAGGGTTGAAATCTTCTGTATTTTACATAACTGTTGATAGGGCGTCTTAGTCAAAAGAAGACTGATATACCGAGGGCTGAAGCAGTTCTGAACATATTCTTTTCTCTGCTTGGCAGTCTTATGGAGGTAGCCGTTCTTAAAGCTCGCACTCTAAAGAGCACACCTTGGATCTTGCTGTGTGCGGTACCTGGCAGTCCTTGGTCAGCTGAGTGCTAAAGGCGGCTGTTTCAAGAGAAAGTCATCTGTTTAGTTCAGTGAGATCATTTATGTTCTTGGAACAGATTTAGCTCTTACGGTGTTGCTGTCACCGTTGTGGTACTCAGACAATATCCAAGAAGTTGGCTTCGGCCTGTCTTTGAGTTGCTGGCTTTCAATTCCCCACCCTCTCCCCCAAAGCACCCTGCATGGTGTAAGCCAGTAACTTTTCACTACTCACTACTTTTAAGTTTGTGCTGCTGACTCACAGCATGGTCGCTTCTGCTAATTTTGTGCATGAAGACCGCTGAGGATTTTGTAAAGAGGGCAATTGCTTGCGCCAGCAAGGCTTGTTGCAAGCTGCGCTCTGACCCCGAGGTGAGTTTGCCACCTTTCCTAGTGCTACTTCCTCTCACTGGGTCTAAACGGGGGTTGTTTCACCAGCACGATCTACCTGTGATGACCTGCATTAATTCTGTTATGTTTCTCCTCTCTCCCCTTTCGTGTGTATGTGTTTTCCCTCTTCTTCCTCAGATAAATGGCTCGTTTAAATTGGGAGCTGCTACTAAAATATTCTCTGGCTGGCAAATGCAGTGCCTAGCAGCTGCTATCAAGGACGAACCAAACATGAGTGGGGGAGGGGAGCAGGTCGACATTCTGCCGGCCAACTACGTGGTGAAGGACCGTTGGAAAGTGGTGAGTATTTTCCTCTCTCTGCATCTCTTCTAGCCATGATGGAATGTCTTCTTCTCAAACTACCCTTTTACACGGGTCTCTTCCAGTTATCTGAATCCTGCTCTTTTTGATTCACTGCTCTGATGCCTCTAGGAGCTTGTGAATACAGTGGTACCTCTGGTTGCGAACGGGATCCATTACGGAGGCCCATTCGCAACATGAAAAGCCCACAACCTGAAGCGCCGTATCTGCATAGGTGCGTGGTGCGGTTTAGTGCTACTGCGCATGGGTGAGCAGTGAAACCCAGAAGTAACCCTTTCAGGTACTTCCGGGTCGTCACGGGACACAACCTGAAAAAACGTAACATGAAGCAAACATAACAGGTGGTATGACTGTACTTTGTTTTAGTGGGGGGTTTTATAAGAAAGAAAGAAAGAAAGAAAGAAAGAAAGAAAGAAAGAAAGATCTAAATTGTAACGAACCTACCATTCACCAGTGGCTCATTGTAATGAATTCACCAGGCCCTCTTCAAATGGTGTTGGGACTACAACTCCCCACATCCCTGATCATTGGCCATGATGGCTGGGGCTGATGGGACTTGCAGTCCAACAACATCCAGAGGGCAGAAGGTTCTGCATGCCTGATTTAAGGAAGCTGCAGCTGGTGCAGAACATGGTGACTTCTCTTGTGCTGAGAGAGGTGTGGGAGGCAGGTCAACTGGAGAGTATTGCATCACTGCTCCAGCCACCAGTACTAGTTCCCTGTTGTCTTTTAGGCAGATTTCACAGTATTGATTTTTAACATATAAAGGCCCATATAAACATTTCTCTTTATCCAGGCCTTTAGTCATTAAATAATCTACGGCCTGTTAAAGCTGGCTGGGTGGGATCATTATGATTATTTCATTATTATGCTATATATCATTATGCTTTTTATTGCATTTTTATTATTGATACTCTGTAAAATGTGTTCTTAATGTTGTACACCACCCTGGGATCTTTTGCTAAAGGGCAGTATATAAGTGGAATAAATAGTAGTAGTGGTAGTATAAATAATAGTGGTAGTAGAATAAATAATAATAATAATTGCCTAGACCTGGCATACCTTAAGAAACAGTGAATTCCATTTTTTACCATCATGTTTCCTCAGACTGATTATACTGTATTGGCCCGAATATAAGCTGACCTTTCCCCCCAATTTCTGATCATGAAAAGTTAAAGTGTGGCTTATATATGTGACCTTACGCCGCCAGCAAAGCAGCACGGCTCCCCACCCCCACCCCCAGGAATCAGCACGGGGCAACGGTGTCCAGTCTGCCCGCCTCTCCCAAGCCTCCCCTGAGCCACCAAATTTTTAAAAGTGTGGCTTATTTGTGGGTGCGGCTTATATTCAGGCCGATACGGTATGTACTTCTTTAATAATGCCATCAGAATGAGAAACGAAGACAGTGTGCCCATGCAGAGATTGATTCTAGGTGGCTGCTCAGCAACCCGATAGCTCCTTTCTATTTAATCTCTACCTGTGGGGCCATAATTACTATAATAGCAGCTGGATAATCGTAAGTGCTGTCAAAGTTTTTAAAATGTATTGTTTGTTTTACTTATTTTACAAGCGGGTCCTGCAATAAAATGTTGCAGTGCAGAGTACTCCTGTTCAGGATGCCAGCTAGGCCCTTTCCCAGGATACTCCATTCCACTCCCCCACCCTCAGTTTTCCAATCCGTTCCCCCACCCCACCCCAGCTATCATGTCGTAGCCACTGAATATGCTTGATCTTCTTTGGGATGATTCCATGTCTTCCTTGCTTGGTTCCGCCCCCCACTCAAAGTTTTTTCGTAGTTCTGTAAACCTTGGAGCTGTCCTCAGCCTGTTGATATTCCCTCTTGTGTTGGAATGCCATTTTAGCTACATAACAATTGGCACTTGGGAAATTGAGTTTGTTATTAGTACAGCAGTTATTACTTTCTCTAATTTGATGATGATGTAATTATTCAAATTGGCACTTCTTTGTAAGCTTTTGCATCCAGGGCCTTCCTAATGTTCCTTGTGGAACAGTGGGTGACTACCATAGGTCTGTGTGTCCAAGCTGAATTTCCCTGTGTCTGCCCTTCTGATTGTTAGGGGAAATTGGACTCTGAGGAAAAGTGTCTTGTTACTATGGCTGTGAAGTGGGTTGTCTTTTTCCTCTGAATTGCTTCATGTAAGGTGGCCCTTTTCGGATACTGCTAAGACAAGTTCAAACTGCTAGACTGGATGCTGTGTGAGGTAAAGGTAAAGGGACCCCTGACCATTAGGTCCAGACTCTGGGGTTGCGGCGCTCATCTCACTTTATTGGCCGAGGGAACCGGCGTACAGCTTCCGGGTCATGTGGCCAGCATGACTAAGCCGCTTCTGGCGAACCAGAGCAGCACATAGAAAGGGTGTTTACCTTCCCGCTGGAGTGGTACCTATTTATCTACTTGCATTTTGATGTGCTTTTGAACTGCTAGGTTGGCAGGAGCAGGGACCGAGCAACGGGAGCTCACCCCGTCACGGGGATTCGAACCGCCAACCTTCTGATCGGCAAGCCCTAGGCTCTGTGGTTTAACTCATGTAAGGAGGCCCTTTCCAGATACTGCTAAGACAAGTTCAAACTGCTAGACTGGATGCTGTGTGAGGTACAGGGCTGTAAACAGCAACAGCAGAAAGAAATGGCATGAACTGCCTTCAAGGAAGAAGGAATGGGTGATTCCTTGTTTGCCTTCCTCTTATCCCTTTGTCATTCATATCTATTAGGGCTGCATTCATCCATTCACTTAATATTCATCCAGTTAAGAGATTTGCTGTACCACCCATCTTGTGAGCTGTCAGGCCCTTTTCTCCCAGTCAACACCATAAGAGAGCATGCTCGCAACTGGTTTATCTTGAGAAAATAGAGCTAGCTGTTACCTTTGAAACAGGAAGCAACACCACCTTACCATTCATTCATTCATTCATTCATTCATTCATTATGCTTTTCACCAAATCTTACAGGAGAGCTGACAGAGTGATAGATGGTGCGGGTAGTGACTTCACCATGTCCCAAATGTAATGTTGCTGCCAGGTTTCTGCTTGGTGCACTGCTTCTTGTCCTATTTCTGTCTAGCAACTAATGCAGCAAGCCTCTGCTCTCTCAGCAAATAAATGTGCAGCATCTCAGTGAGGTGCAGGTATTTTGCACTTTTTTGGATTTGTCTGCAACAGGGTAATTGGGAGCTGTTTTTTGCTTTCCTTCCACACTGTTTGTGTTCCTTCAGAATACGTGAACTGCAGCTGAGGAGGTCAACTGCTAATGTGGCTTTCATGCTTGCTGGGTTCTGAAGTGTCTGGCCCGCTGCCAGCAATATCAGCTTCTGTTGTATTCAACTGTTCAGTGGCACACTGAATTAAGCATATTATTTTTGTAGGTAAAGGCTGAATATGCCAAAATTAAGATTCTTGCTGTTTCTTGCATTCAAAGGATGCTAGCTTTTCAAAATGCTTAAATGAAAAATTCTTAAATGAAGGTTTTATCAATCTTTGCACATCCTGATCTCTCTTTCTCTTCCCTTTCCCTTATCATGTTGTCTCAGGGGACTTGTCCTTCAAAAAATCTATATAATCTTCATAGTTCTGAGTTAAGTTAAAATACTATGCTTTTCCATTAAAATCTTTTGAGCTTGTATGCAAACATGAATTGGGTTTGGGGTGTAGGTTTTAGCTTAATTACAGGGACATTTATTGCAAAGCTGATTTGTTGTGTCAAAGGGATCCTGGATTTCACTGTATGTTTTATATTTACTCTGTGTCAGTGTGATAGATTTCTATTTCTTCGGTTACATGTGAAAGCTATCTAAAGTGCCATATACCAGTTTATGTTAAGGAGGAATTCTTCAAATTGCTTTAATAAACCCTTGTTTAATTTCCTTGTTTGCCCATTACAGCAAAAATTCTAGCAGAATAGGTATGAATGAGGCTCTTTGGGTACCTGCAGTACAAACTTAAGGCACCCTTCCCTCTCCCGTTTGTGGATTTTGTTTGAAGTGAGAGAAGTTGTGGTTTATTAGGCAGCCACAAACTAGAAAAAAATGAGGATTTCAGAATTGGCTCATTTCAGCTTGCTAGACTCCTATTTCCCCACATACTCTGTCCAAACCTGGTTTTAGTGTGCCAATGTACAATGGGTGTGTTTTTCATATTCAGTCTGGCCAGTGGATCTGATCTGATTTTGCTCTGGAGATGTTCAGCCATGTAAGATTGTATTCCATAAATAAAATCATTTTCTCTTAACACTAATCCCAGTCCAGCATTTGTATAGCTGGATAGATAAGTGTATAATGATGAATAATTTTATGTATTTTTATTAGCAATTTATATTTTTTTCTGGAGGGAAATTAAGATAAGCATCGTATTACAGTACAGTGTACCAGTGGTGATGTTGCTTCTCCGCCTGCGGCAGATGTCGCAAGGTATGTGGTGGCTGTAGATTGGGTGACGACAGGAACAGGTATGGCGGCAGCAGCAGGAGGAAGGCTGCATTTCCCGTTTCTCCTCAAATAGCAAAATGGGACATGCCACCCTGGCTGCCAATATCTTTTGAAATGGAACATAGAATCATAGAGTTGGAAGGGATCCCCCAAAGGTCATCTAGTCCAACCCTCAGCAATGCAGGACTCTCAGCTAAAGCATCCATGACAGATGGCCAGCCAACCTCTGCTTCAAAACCTCCAAGGAAGGAGAGTCCGCAACCTCCTGAGGAAGTCTGTTCCACTGCTGAACAGCTTGTATTGTCAGAATTATTTTCCTGATGTTTCGTTGGAATCTCCTTTTTTGTAACTTGAAGCCATTGGTTCGAGTCCTACCCTCCAGAGCAGGAGAAAACAAGCTTGCTCCGTCTTCCATGTGACAGCCCTTGAGATATTTGAAGATGGCTATCATATCTCCTCTCAGTCTCCTCTTTCCCAAGTTAAACATACCCAGCTCCTTCAATCATTCCTCATAAGGCTTGGCCTCTAGACTCTTAAT